ATAGTCCCGTTCCTCTCCTTTCAGTCTTGCTGCTATCGCGCCTATCCCTATCTCTCGAGCATCACATACGCAATTCCATTTCGTTCTTAAGGCCGGGCTTAGAAGGCGTTTTCAGGTCCTCTTTTGCATGATTCGGCGGACTCGATGGTTAGCAGGCCTTCAGGGCGACCTACTGGTCTGTGATGTTATCGCAGATATAGTGAGGTTTACCCGATCTAGTGGAGGAGGGGATTCCTTACATTCAAAGAAATTGGAAGTGAAAGCGCCTATAAAGTCTTTCGCTTTCGAGTAAGCTAGTTACTGCTCTTCAAGCAAGTCAGCGGTTTTCAGCTTAAGCAGGGAGCTCCGCTCTATAGTACTCTAGTGCTCTTCTTTCTTTGTGAGAATGTTTTCCCTCTCTACTAAAGAGAACTGGAAATAAGTCTTTAAAAGAACTTAAGCTCTTCCTTTTCTGGGGTAGGGGTTCTCCCCCTTTCCGTACTGTCTTTCTTTGATTTATCTCCCCTACTCTACTCGCACTGCTTCTTTCCTCTCCAATATCTTATTTTCTTAGTCTCGTTCTCGTCTCTATCTCTTAGGTCAAGCATCTTCGGGAATACCCGCCCCCGTCTTAGTCGAATACCTTTTCATTCCTTCCGCAAGTTCGTATCTTAGAATAATCAACTTTGTTTGCTTTGGTGCTTTCTTTTATGCCCTTCCTCTTGATATTACCACCAAACCGGATATCGTGATCTTGGATATAGGTACTTGACTTCCTCCTCTTCCTACGTATGGGGCGAGTAGCCTAGCCCATCTCCTCAGACCAGACTGAGCTGAATTGCCAATCCTTTGAGCCGCTTCGCTCCTTGGGATGCCTTACCTTAGGGAATTTTGAAGATCGAAGATTAGTATGAAACTCGAGCCATCTCCTTTTGCAGGGGAATCTCCTTCGGTTGATTATCTTGTTTCGGAATATGCATTTCAAAACCTTTTTCTCTCGTACCCATTTGCCCAAACTCCGGTGATCTAGCTTTGGCTTATGCCATTACCGCTAAACCCGATTCTTCTCTTTTTCCGGATCCTTATTCTTTCTTTTTGTGACTTCTTTATTTGAATGACTCCTTTCCCTACCGGTGATGATGTTGATGATAGATATTTTCTTTCACAGTTCCACTCCGGGACAGCTTTCCTTGCCTTTCCTGCATTACCGGATTGATTGCTTTTCTATAGTAACCTATATTCCTGCAGCTGCAAAAGAATCAGGAGCAGCCTCCTTTTGAAGTCGATCTGGTCTAGTTCAATTCTTTCGATCCTATTCTCAAAGGAAGGTCAGCAAGCTCGGGTAAACAGATGAGCCTTCAGACAGATTCCCAGAAAAGCCAGCCAAGTCCGCCTGGAAAGCCAAACTTCAAGGGATTGGGCAGAGAGCAGCTTCACCAGAAGAAGAGGGAAATGAGCTATAAAGGAGCTAGCATAGTTAGCGAGGAAGGCCAGCTGGAAACAAGGGCAGGGGCTTCATTTACCCTCTCGCCGTCTCCAAGGGCTCAGGCATTCCATGAAGTGCCTTGTATTGACATTCTCCTTCCCCTAAGCTTCTCTCTTTGCCTAATGTTCTCTTTTCTAATGAAGCAGCTTTGCAAGAAAGGTTTGACTTCCCTTCGCTTCGGGGCTTCCCCTGCGGGGCAGTTAGACCTCTGTAATCCCATACCTGCTTTATTTCATCTTTTTAGTTTTCTCTTTCCGCCTAAGCGCTTACTTTTTCAGACTTGTGCCGCCTAGTCAAGAAGGAGAATAGGGAGTGGGTCTTGATTCGCACGGATGCCTTATTCCCGGATCGAAAGGGAAAGGCCCTCTTTCCAGAGAATGCGGGAGAAGCGATATGGCATCAATCAAAGAATGAAGCTGCATCCCGCGAGATGACAGACTAGAGGACAAGCGGCATAACAGCATAAGAAGAGCGAGGGCATAGGTAGATGGATACTATAATTGGGACAGCGATTGAGTGAAGATGAAAAAGGTCGAATTATACTTAGACTTTCATGAGAAAAGAAGGACTGGTGGGGATCTCACGGGTTAAGCAAACTCCCACGGGAAATAGACAAAAGTCTCAAGGTAGTTCGGTTCGTTAGGAAAGATGCTATATATAATAAGGACTCGCTTGGAGATTCTTAGAGGTATTCAAGCAAAATCTCTGCTGTTAGCTAAGAAAAAGTCATCTTAGTTTAGCTGGGAACGAGAGAAAGAAGATCCCCTTAGACTTCAAGGTCTTCCACTCGCTTGAAAACAATGGCAGTAGCTAGCTGACTGGGAAGTTCTATCCTGCTTCGATAAGATAAGCTTGCCAATCAGAAGTGGTACTCTGATCAGTACAAGACTAAGGAGCTTGGATTGGAATACCTGAAAGTCGAGAGAAGAGGAATTGCTTCAAGTTTGACTTGTGACCAGGGCATCTGTCCATAGGATGCACTAAGGAAAGAAAAACGTAAAGAAAGCCTGGTATGGTAAAGAGCTCGACTCGCGAATATTATTCCGCTCGTTTCGTTATTCGTTCTATAAGAACTCTCTATACTCGCTTGTTCGTAAGTTTCACTCTCCGTGTAGTATGACATGAAGTTTATATACAAAAGCAAAGATAAAGACAGAGTTGGCGATTATTGCCTTTTTGTCGTGGACTGAGTAGTCCACTTCAATAATCCAACAAACAGTCCCTTACAGGTCCGATAGCGAGGGGACTTCCCTTTTTGCTCATAAGTCAGCCACCTCCTTGGATTTCCATAAAAAAATTATCTTGTCTTGCGGTCGGCCCTCTCTTTCACGCTGGTGAAGCAGCCCACGCCTCTGACGAGGCCATCGCGCAGGGGTACGACGGGTTAGCCTCAGAAGGGCTACTTCTTGGATAAGGCGTTAAGGCGGCCTTCTAACCCCCTTTTTTTCTCCCACCTTTCCAGCTATCCGGTCCAGTCCAACTGATCTACGAGGGTCGGGTCCTTTAATGTGAAAGCAAAGACCAAAACATCCGAGGCATCTGATGACACGAGAAGAAAACTCAAAGCACTCTTTTCCATGCGTAATAACTAACTATTTTGTGCCTACTCGTTCTCTATCCCAAGTCGTGATACCTTATTGAGTGTATCTCCGATAACCGATGATCGAGCAGGAATTCCTAGATAAGCCTCTTTCTTTGTCGACAATCGGAACCTGAGAATATTCAAGGACCCGTTACCGGGCAGGGTAAAACCAACAGCACAGAGGAACGGTAAGTTCTCAACTGAAAGGAAGAAGCAACGGATTGAGCTGCGCTTCACGCCCTCTCGCTTACTGGAGAAAGAACTCAATCCTCTGGCTTTGCTCTTCTTGCTCTTGTTCGCTCCTGCTTTAAAGCTTGTCCTTGTTTTGGTTCCGCTAATAGTGATGGAATTCTTTATAAAACTGAACAGGTCCTTCTTTCTCAAGAATCGATAATCATACACATGAAGACCTTTTAAGGCTGCCCTTAAGAACGAAATTCAACATTCTATTATCTCTTCCGCGCTATAGTATGCCTTTTTCCAACCTCCTCGTTGTATGGAGCCCCATGGGATATTGAATTCTCAGTTCAAGCAGAATCCGGTTAGGGAGAGAAAGGCTTAGAGTAAGTCCCACGAGCTAACCTGCTAAGTTAGTAAGGATGGGATATTTCGCCAGGAGATATGATAGAACGAGATGAGGGATGCCTCTTCTTTCTTTTTCGAAGTTAAGGAAGGTGATAGCATCATCTTGCTTGACTGGCACTGGTACCGATTCTGCGCAAAACAGATATTCTTGGTATATTTGTCCAATCATTCCCTTTGAGAAAGTGCCACAGCCTATTCTAATTAGCATTAGCTACTCCTTCTTTTCCGAGTTGGCTAGCTCTTACCGGAAATACCAGATAAGAAGAAGTCTATCCACCACCTGCCCTAAGACCTCAGGGGAAGGCACGAAAGCTACAGTAATCGTTAGCCACAGCGTACACGGCAATATACCGTATAATTGCATACTCCAGAGCCCTCCTACATCGTTTTCCATGTTTGGAAGACCCCAGGGGCCGTGATGCCGCTTTTAAGCCCAAAAGCAGCTAATCTCACTGCGTTAAACGCGCAGTGGGACCTGGTGAGATAACATCAAGTTATACCACCGGTTTCGAATTGTAGCTAACTTTCGAATAGACACGGGAGACACATCAATTGTCAACCGGTCTAGCCGAAAGCGCTTCGCGAACTCACAGGCACCCTCCCTCGAAGTTATAAACTTCGGGAGTGATATAGACACACCCAGCCTCTCTAATAAAGCTGAGTACGTCATGGCCACGCGGTCATCCGCGATGACAATATCGTCACCTGAGATGGCACAGCGCTGAAACCTTTGTCCGGAATAGCACTGTTCTGCCGCCCACCACACCAATACATGGTGTGATAAGGCGAAGAGGGGCCACGAGGAAGAGTATCCCAGGGGCTGACCGGTGACAAAGCAAACCTTTCTTCTTTCTTAACGAATGCCACGTCAAAGACGTTAGTGTCGAGGGCAGAATGAACTTCCGCCGACACAAACGAGTACTTCCGATCGAAGAGAGACTGCATAAACTCAAACAGGAGAAGAAGACGCCACCTATCTGTGGCTGACTTCGACTCCAGAGAGCGTACAGTCCCTCCGACTCCCTTTAGCTTATCCAGCGGGGCTGTCTGGTTAGACGTCCTATCCATAGGAGAAGACGCTAAAACAGACGCCGACCACCGGAGCACAGGATACAGCAACCGCTGATTGATGTAGTTGCCCACAACAAAGAGACGGCCCTTCCCGTCTCCCGAACACGTTGCACAAAGCCTTCCCGTGTTAGCTAGGATCTCTATCTGCGACAAATTATAGGGACCAACTTCGAAGAACTCCAAAATGGAGATGTATAATCTCACAATTGAAGGAATCGAGAGTCTATCTAACATACGGAGCCCATAAGCAACCCTGAAAGTAGCCTTCACCTCTCGCATGAACAAAGTTCATAAGAA